TGAAATCGAAAAAGCCGTGAAATAGATATTACACTAATACACCTCATTACGCTCTTATTGCATTGTTTTCTTTTGTGTCTATTTGACTATCACACTTTAACGGTAAAATTTTTGTTTCTTGGGTTTAATGAGTTCACGAAAATAACACGTGAAAGAAATAATATATATCACTATTAAATAGTGTTGATTTGACTTTAGGAAACACTAGACTTTTTGTCTCATATTTCGAAGCAAAATATAGGCTAAAAATCGTAAAATAGATAGATTGTCAGCGATGAATGAATCCATTCTTAGGCAGACGTCATACGTCGAAATTCACATAGGACTTGTATACGTCACACGTGAAGTTCGGCGTTTAACGTAGCCTAAGAGAGAAGAGATTGRCTATTTTAAGCTATGTTGACGGACTTTAAGCCAAAAGTAAAGATGTACTCAAAATATCTTATACCTTAGYTATCATCCTATGAACAGGTTATTAGAATACATGACCATAGCAACATGCTACCATAACGACAAGTTACCATAACACTATGTTACCATAACAGCATTTTACCAAACCAGCATGTTACCATAACAGCAAGTCACCATAACACGTTACCATCATGACAGCATGTTACCATAACTACATGTTACCATGACAATGTTGCTATAACATGTGTTACCATAAGATGTTACCATAACAGTATGTTACCATAACAACATGTTACCATAACAGTATGTTACCATAACAGCATGTTACCATAACAGTATGTTACCATAACAGCATGTTACCATAACAGCATGTTTCCATAACAGTATGATACCATAACACAATGTTGCCATAACAGTATGTTACAATTAGATGTTACCATAACACTTTATTACCATAACAGCTTGTTACCATAACAACATGTTACCATAACATCATGTTACCATGAAAATTTGTTACCATAAAACCTTGTTACTATAACATCATGTTACTACAGCGACCTAGTGTAAATCAGTAACTATAACTAAATGTTACCATAACCTATTCAGGTTGTCGTAACAACTAACAGCAGCCTATGCAATAAACAGGTGTCTATTATTTCTGTCCAGAACACTACTTCAARAARGTGAATGCTAACCCTTTCTTCAATATCATGGCCACTGTTTTTAGTTGTCTAAGCGACACRTGGTCCTRGAATCCTTTGCGATCATCAGYGCTTKATTTTGGTCAGTGCTTCAGTGAGTTGCATAGCAACGTACAGTTCCGTTTYCTTGGTGTTTGTTACATACCGACTACCTTTTGYGGTTCTTTTAAATTCGCGGTTGGGCTACCTGTGTCAGYCTGTACAACTTCACTTCCGGTATYATTTTCGTCTAGAGGAATTCCCGTTTGGTTGTCTTCTGTTGGGTACCCTGTGGTGCTAGAATTCTCAGCGTCCATTGGTGCTTTCTCTTTATTTCYKRGRTCTGTCTTCTCCAGAAGAAATTCCCTTTGACTTTCCGGCACAACATCACTCAGGTTTTCTGTACTGCTTGCATTGTCTTCCCTYGTGGTTACTTTATCAACATGATCCCGAGGGACATCCCGAATAAATCCCGCATCATCCAGCATAGAGTCWGCATTTTCAGTTGTGTTTYCTTTATCGKCTCCATYCCGAGGKATATCCCGAGGGAATCCCGTTTCAACCACCATAGCAGCCTCACTCGCAGCTTGATTGACAAGGACATCTGTAGAGGATTCCATGGGAACATCCGCTGTACCAGATGACAATAGGCTCTTGTCGCCAGCCAAATCCTCGAATCGATCATTACTTTCCATGGCAACCACTTTCATGTCAGTATCCGCAGTACTAGACGCCTGTGGGCTCAAATCAGATTGCTTTTGATCTTCGYGATTTTCTAGCTTACTGTCCTGATTCGTTTCCATAGAAACAACCTCAGCAGCCTCGCCTGCCAACTCGGTTTCCAGTTGACTTGATGATTGTTCAGAAGGTTGATTCTTTTTTGTTCTCGTAGCTGATATATCTAAATAAAGGTCCGGTTCACCTTGTTGCGGGTCTGCTAGGGTTCGAGACGTTGTGTCATAGCCTTCTTTCTCAGATAACGYAGTGTTAGCTTCCATGGTCTGAGGTTGATCGGAGGAGGTCGACACCTTAAAGAAAACACAATCACTCATATTACACCAATCGAACAACTTTCGAGATTTCCCGAATCAGTAAGCCACCCAAGGGATGCARACATATTTACCTAGTTCTTGTTGGTTCACAGTCGTGAAGATAGAGTTTAACTTATACAAATTTGTAAACGGACAAAAGAACACAGAAAACGCATTGACCTCTTGTTTGCTACGGCATTGAAGGTCTAGTATCACCCAAAATGCTTTGCAACCGTTATGGTAGAAAGTGATTAGGCCTGTTTACAATTGCGATTCTTGCAGAGCGATTCTCGTGGCGATTCTCGTCTCCTGATTTTCGAACATGCTTGAAAATTGTCTGCAACTTCGCGACAAGTTTCGTCGCAACAATACGTCCGATTTTAGTTGCGCGATAGCAAAGTGGCGATTATCGCGCTRCAAAAATCGTAAGCGAGCCTATAGGAGGAAGTGTTCGGTTTATAGACTTGAACCTTGTTTTCATTCCTTGCTACATTACTAGGTCAGAGAGTTGGTAAAAATCTTTCAGTAGACTGGAATGACCGTCGTGTGATACAAAACAATCAAGGTAATACACTGGGCCTTAAATAATACCTGGAAAACAATGACGCATGCCCAATATCTACCTGTATGTTTTCTTGTTGCCTTGGCGACGGCGTCGACGAATCTGCAAGGGACCTCCCCTCCCCTGTGAAAGCCATAGTTGATCTATTCGAATTACGATGGGTAATCGCCCCGCTGAATGACGACTCGGTACTCATAACGGGAGACTGTGTCGAGTGAGAAGTCCGCTGACCYTCYGCTAGTGTTTCTTGGTTTAAGGGTTGKACTTGCACGTGAATTTTGCCGAGGCAGAGATCTAAGCGGTCTTTTTTCTTGTTATATGAAAACACCTGTAGAATAAACAACGGCAGRAGTTAGTARTGGGCCCCTGACAACGGTCAGTGTGACTATGAYGTCACTCACTTTTACGACGKCWTCAATATGTTTATCAATGACGTCAGCTTAATTGCTTATGCTTATRACGTCAGTCASAACATTTCTGCTTCAGTCAATGTATGTTTATGACGTCAGTCAGCTTAAGTTTATTAAATGTCAGTCAATGTGCTTTTATGACGTAAGGATGCAYTTATCATGTCAGTCAGTGTATGTGCATGACGTCACGATGAAAGAATCCATGGTGATGTCTGAGGAATGTGTCGATAATTTACTACAGATTATTCGTGACGTCATTCAATGTATGCTAATGACGTCATAACGTATGATGTATGACGCATTACCTTATTTGGTAGATTTGGTAATGTAACGTGCTGTTCGTTCTTCAGGTCTCCAAGACTATTGAAAGCAAGATTGTAGTAATATCCTCCATGGTCGAACATCTGTGGAGTCCTGCAAGCCATTTCCCACATGTCAGTGGGCAGTGCRCCCGATAGAGCACTCATCAACGCTGAGGCTAACGCTGCTGTGTCTGTATCCACTGTAAATTAAAACAACCAGGAAACAATGACACGTTACATAACGAGCCATTTGAATATGACGTCAAAGTATATAACAATGATGATGATGATAATGATGATGATCATAATGATGATGATGATAATGATAATAATGATGATGATGATAATGATTATGATGATGATGATAATGATGATGATGATGATGATGATGATGATGATGATGATGATGATAATGATGATGATGATGATGATGATGATAATGATGATGATAATGATGATGATGATGGTGATGATGATGATGATGATAATGATGATGATAATCTTACCATCCATTGGAGATGCCTCTGCTTTCGTATTCTTTGCTGCTTCACCGTCACCCAACTTACCCCCTCCCTTATCCCCTTCCAGAGCACCAGCAACGTCCATCTTCGTCTCCTCCGGAATATCCCAATCTTCTTTAGSCTGAGGCTCAGGTTCAGGGGGAGGCAGTACTTCTACCATTACCCTCTCTCCATGCTGAACGGGTATGGGATCTTCTTCCTTGCCTTCATCAGGCGGTTGCAGAACACGTGGTGGAAACCCAAATCGRATTTTTTGTTCCTTTGGGGGTACCCCTAGTTCCTTTTCGATAGCTTGTTGTAGTTGGCTATAGGTGACRTTCAGGGGGAGGGTAAGGTCATGTTGACCACCAGTAGATGAAGACAGTCGTATACGTTTGTTGTTTCTTGGGGTCTGGGACGAGGTTGGTCTTGGTGAAGAGGGACTGGGCTCTTGTTTTTGTGGCTGTACATTGAAATGAATAAATGGGAATTAGAAGATAAAACAGATGAAAATAGAAAAAGAATGATTAAATAAAAGAATTAGAATTCACTGTAATACTATAAAAATGGACAGCTGAGACAGAWCAACTTGATATACAAATAAAGAAAAATATATCATGGAGAAAATTTAAAAATGCTTGCYCAGGGATATGAATTATGTCATGAGCATTGAAAAGATCTGTCGCGAGTAAATGTAGCGAATTTCTAGCCCACAGTTCCCTGTGCCATTTTGAATTCGAAATTAGCTGTCTCTTTGGATCGAAGCGAGACAACCATTGAGTGTGCAATGAAAGGCACCTTCTTTCAGACCTAAAGACAACTTTTTATAGGTATCTATCATTGCACCCTCAGCAGTCATCTCACTTCATTACAAAAGTTGGGCTACCTTTCAAGACAGCACAGGGAACCCTGAAAGAGACTATTAAGAAATAATGAAAATTATGAAGAAAATATGAACACAAATCAAGCATTCCAAAACATTCACAGTGAAATGAATTTTATCATTTATATCTCATCCAATTGATTGAAAATGTTTTGAAAAAACTTGTTTATCTGCATCTGAATAAAAAAGATCTTTCAAAATGTTATACAAACAAAAGTCTCCTTTGCCATCTTGAAGGGTAGCCGTGCCTTTGCATCGAAGCGAGACAACCGTTGAGCGTGCAATGATAGAAACCTTCTTTCTCACCTACAGACAATTATTCACAGGTACCTATCATTGCACGCTCAAAGGTTGTCTCGCTTCAATGCAAAGGAACAGCTACCTTTCAAGATGGCGAAGGTAACCGTGAAGGAGTCGGAGACTATTAAAATTAATGAATTGATGAAAAAATGAAATACCCTAAAGGACTCAGGGACTGCTGAATGGAATTGGGAGAGATAAGGGTGGKTGGAAAGTAACAGGGGAGGCCCCTGGGTTTCAGAGGATGAACACAAAAGTCAGCGTTTATGTACAGAATAGTGTACTTGAGCAATTAATGATAAACACTCCAATGTGTTGTCACTGGACGTTTCTTAAGTCTTTTTAGTGTATCTGAACAATAAGTGATAAACACTCTGAGGTGTTCCAACTAAAATAAGTACCTGTGTTTTCACTGGACGTTTCTTAAGTCTTTTTAGTGTATCTGAACAATAAGTGATAAACACTCTGAGGTGATCCAACTAAAATAAGTACCTGTGTTTTCACTGGACTTTTCTCAGGTGTTTTCTGTAGTCTGGACTGTCTGTTCTGTGTAAGTGGTGCACGATGTTCAGTCTTTATCTTYACTCTTCTCTCTGCTTCRCTTTTCGTCAATTCTTCTTTGTGAAAGGTCTTTTTCTTTTGCCCAGTAAGGATGATCTTAGAAGGTGAGTACTGCATTGGGTCTTCTGATGGTGCTGCACCAAGGTTTGGRATGTCAGGACGAGCACCTAGAGAAAAGATCATCTAAAATCAATGGATGAATACTAGATGACTTTTTTTGAATTTGAACTGAAAAACTGCTGCTTTATTTGACTAGTGTGAGCTGCGTCGGTGTTTCTAAAGAAACAGTTATGTAAAAAGATAAATTTAACACCGTAAAAAAGTATGTGAAATAACTTACTGACGTTTCGGACGTTAATCCATCCGACGAAGGATTAACATCCGAAACGTCAGTAAGTTATTTCACATACTTTTTTACGGTGTTAAATTTATCTTTTTACATAACCGTTATTACAATAGCCTTGAAAATTTGCGTTTTTCCCAAGTTGAGACTAACCCAGCTATATTCCAAAAAGGCCTTAGGTTTAAGCCTTCTGGGAATACAGGTTTAGCCTCAACTCTGCAAAAATGTAAATTGTTAGGGCTAATTGTACTTGCAACATTTTCTTGTGCTCTCTTTTGTGTTTGGTGAGATCTTTGAATTTGAAAATAGAGACTTGATGGTTGTCTGAATCAAATATCAAATAAATGAACGTGTAGAAAAACGATTTCATGATAAGATGAAATCAATTGAAATATTCTGGAGCATGGAACACAAGTATTGTATAGGGGCTAAAACTTTTGATCCCCTTGTGATATTCTGATGAGGATTAGGGGATTTGATAATTTGTAAAGCTGGGCTGCCTGTGGACTGGCCAGGTTTTCAAATCACCTTTATTTTCGCCCTCTTTTCTTGCAGTCTGTCTAAGTATTGTATCAACTACTTTCTGTACCAGCCTCTCACTGCCAAACTCGCCCGGGAAGTATTTTTGCACCAGTTTTCCAGCCACAGCATAAACATTGGAATTCAAAGATGGATCACTTTCATACTGGAACCAGTGAACGTTTTCCTTGATTGGTGTTCCTCCCCACTCTAAGGAMACTGGTAGGCTATCAAAAGATGAACAAGGGATCAAATACATGTACACCTAATTGAAGAAACGTTGTCGGGTCCAAAAAGATCAAATATTAGAAGCTAGGACCGAAAGGGTAGAGTGCAAGTCACATAAGCATGAAACAATTCTTAACTATGTACTTGTAGTGCTAAATAAGATTTACTAAGAATTGAGAACAATGCTACAAAGGAATTTAAATAATTGGCATTGTGTTTATGTTTTGTTGAATTCTTAGTTAGTTGATAACTAAATCTTATTTAGCAATACATATTAAGAATTGTTTCATGCTTATGTGACGTGCACCCTACTTGGGAAGACAAACAATTTGGCTAATTTCATAGCAAACAGCTCTCCAGCATAAAAGACTATCATGCTGTTAATCTTACTAGCTCTACTTGCTTAGTGTACACCATATATGAAAATGTAATCCCAATTTAGTGGTACTCAAAATCCCTTTCGGTCTTAGCTTCTATGATGTGACCTTTTGGAACACGAATACGTTTTTTCAATTAGGTGTATTCTATAAACAGGGAAGAGATGGAAATTTTAAAGAGAGTGAGCTAAAATTCATTATTTCAAACCAAGTCACCACAGGTAATCCAATCTATTCTTGAAAATTGTACTTATTCTAGCTTGGACAAAATAGCAATCTCATTTCTTATGATCCCTGATAAAGGTCTTTAACCTTTAATTCATAGCGTTGATATTTCAGYTATTTTCTTATAAGAAAAATATGGTGACTTTAAATATCCATTCACTATCGTTTCCATCTCTCGGTTTTAAGGTCAAATCTTACAATATCCTCAATTACAGACCMTACAAGGGATAATAAAGAATAAGTTTTTATTGTATCATGTTGTATTTTTATTTGAAAACATACTATATTACTCACAGYTCAGGCTGGTTGTCATACTCTTTGCCATCCCAGTAATGCTTAAACCCACAAGAGCATCTGGACGTCCCTGTAACTGGTGTAGAGGTTCTGTCACCATTTTGATAGACTGGCCTTCCATCAGGCTTGACCTTCCTCATAGAACCTTTGCATAATGAGCAGTTATTGACATCTACACCCTGAGGAAAAAACAGATAACTACCTAACAAAACATGAATTAATTATCATGAAGTTCAAATTAGATGCTATATCTTTGGCCTGCAACCATCACATGCAACCCAAGCCATCTTTAGAACATGGCTACAGCAGTCTTTGAGGTCAAAAATAGTTGTTTAATTAATATCCCGGTGAGAGTTGTAGCCATAGACCTTTTCTGAGATAGAAGTTCGCATTGTATTGTGGTCTAGATTTGGTACAAAAATCTTTTGTTCATGTTGCCAAATATGGCATTGTTTGCCGAATAGACCACAATTCTCCATGATTTTGAATTTCAGAAATGGTCATAAGGTTGACTTACCATAGAAATGCTGCATGGAGTATAAAAAAACTGGAGTATTTAGTGCTATTGACTTACTGAAGATTTTTATGTTTTTAGTGTGTGTACATTGTTTACCTTATATTTCGCCACCTCCAACACATCTTTGTCAGGATTGTATGTACAGACAAGATTATGCTCAGGAAATGAGTACATCTCCCCTACAGCTAACCCCCCCTGGGCCTGTGCAGCATGTGAAGCAGAAATATACATAGACCCCCCTGGCATCAGCCAATCTTGATTGACAGGGCAAGTGAGCTCCGAAACAGAATTACAAGACAGACACCTCATAAGCAATCCCATAGACACTGTCTGTGCTGTCCTGTCAATCACTGTCTTTGGACGCACACCCACTAACCCTGACGGCTTGAATATAAACTGGTGAACCTCAGTGACAAGTGCGGCTGAGATTTTGTTGATTTCTAGGAATTTCTCATCCATAGCTTTCATCAAACGGCCAAGATATGCATCACTCATACCCCTAGAGCCGCC